CATTGTTCGTAGCCTTTATATATATATATATATACTTATATATACATTGTTCGTAGCCTTGATGTCTATATATATATATATATACACTGTTCGTAGCCTTGATGTCTATGTCTTAAGGGTATCATTGATATCTCGCAATAAAAATCAATTTAGATTTCCTTACTAAGATCAAAAAATGTTACGAAGGTTTTCATAAATCATAACTTCTATAAACTTTTAAATTAATATATATTCGATTATTTTCCATACTACTGACATGATAATATGGACTCGTCTAATTGTTTAGATTGAATTATAAGGTAATTATACCTAGAAATGTCCTTGTTTAACAATACCTGTACTTACGCATGAGTGAAGACTTTTTGTTATCACAAAATGTACGGTCTACATTAGCTATAAAGATTTTGTCAATGGGAGGAAAGGTGCCTACATTTATGGGCTATACACTTGATGGTATGATACGTTAAGGTTAAAGATCAATACGGATTATTACTAATGATAAAGAGAATATTACTGTAAAGTACGGTTTTGCAGCAAATATACATTGTTTTCAATTATAGGCTTTGGTTATCCCACAATTTAACGACTAACCATTATTTAGCATAATAACCTTGTATTAACTTAAGTCAACGATTTTCTAAAACGTAACGAGTTAGTTTTAGCAAAGATACACGTCTGACGTCTAGTAATCGATAATAGACTGATTTTCTTAACGTCTTCTAGATGTGCCGTCTGGAGTGAACTTAAGCCACCTTCCAGTACACATGAAGTCGCCTGCTCTGCCACGACGACTCAGAGCAAAGTTGATGAACCTTGTTATTTCAAAGATGCTTTGTTGTGGCCGTAAGAAGGTGAGCAAAGTTTCCGTCAACGACCAAAGATTTCAAGTATGCCTTTCTTACTAAATTATATTGAAGTGACAAATTAAAGGTGATGTAATATTCTCCGCAACACAAACATGATCGAGCTCAATTAAGAATTACAAAAAACAACAACAGTAAAACTTACACATGGAAAAACAAAACAATCTGCTTTAAACTTCTTTATTTTTCTACCATATATTTTACAGCAGCCTTGTTTAGTTTGGATCATACAGTATTTAATATTACTACGAAACAAATTCTAGTAATATCGGCAAAATAGTATTCTCACAAATTTCTGAATTAAGTTTGTTGTTCTGCCCAAACAACAAACTAAGGGGAAAGTGACAAATAAGTTAATTAACAACATGTATACCAATTAGCTCTTTTTTTTTTCACTTTCTGTATGTTATACTGTGGTTTCTCTAAATTCATTAAACATCATGATACTAAGAAACATCAATAATAGAACATAATTAAGATTCCTCCAATCGCTCTAATAAAGAAGAATTAACACATAACCAAGCATCACTAATACACAATAATTAAGGTATGATATCACAAATAATTTATAATAAATAAATACAAATTAAAGTACTAATAAGTGAAACTAATAAACAATAATTAAGATATCACCAAGCATCACTAATACACAATAATTAAACACCACTAATAAACAGTAATTAAGATACCAGATAAACAATGATCAAGGTATTACCAAACATCATCAACAAACAAGGATTAAGATATCACTAATAAACTTGAACCAAGATATCAAGCATCACTAATATACAAGAATTATGGTACAACCAAAAATCATGAATAAAGAAGAATTACGATATCCCTTGGTCTCACTAATATACGAGACTTAGGATATAATAAAGCATCACAAATAAACAAAAAATAAAGTGTCACTAATAAGGAAGAATTAAGATATAATCAGGCATCTCTAATATACAAGAACTAAGATACCATCAAGCATTTCTAATAAGCAATAATTGAGATACTAACAAGTATCACTTATAAACAACAGTGAAATACCACAAAGTTTTACAAATAAACTAAAGTTAAGATACAACCAAGTATCTCTAGCAGATAAAAAATAAAAATAATTAATAAACAAATAATAAGATATCACCAAATATCCCTAATTAACAAGAATTAAGATATAACCAAGCATTACTAATAAGCAATAATTGAGATACTAACAAGTATCACTTATAAACAACAGTGAAATACCACAAAGTTTTACAAATAAACTAAAGTTAAGATACAACCAAGTATCTCTAGCAGATAAAAAATAAACAAAATTAATAAACAAATAATAAGATATCACCAAATATCCCTAATTAACAATAATTAAGATATCACCAAGCATTACTAATAGGCAAGAATCAAGATATCCAAATAATAACAAATAAACAGGAAATAAGATATCACTAATACATTAGAATTAAGACATAACCAAGCATCACTGACAGACAAGAATTAAGGTCTCACGGAGCATCGCTATTCGGCAAAAAATATCACTACTAAACAAGAATTAAACACTCCTAACAAAAAAGAAGTAAGATACTAATAAGAGTTACGAATAAACAATGATTAAGATATCAACAAGCATCACAAGTAAACAAGGATTAAGATATCACTAATAAAGAAGAATTAAAATTTGACCAAGCATAAATAACAAACAATAATTTATCACCAAGCACCACTAAAGAGCAAGAATTAAAATAACACCAAGAGTTACTAACAAACAAGTATTATATTATCAAACATCACAAATGAACAAGAACTCAGAAGTAAACCATTACCAATCAACATGAATTAAGATAGCACCAAGAATTACTAATAAACAAGAATTAAGTTAACATAAAGAATTACTAATAAACAAAAATTAAGATAACATCAAGATTTACTAATAAACAAGAATTAAGTTAACATCAAGAATTACTAATAAACAAGAATTAAGTTGACATAAAAAATTACTAATAAACAAGAATTAAGATAACATCAAGAATTACTAATAAACAAGAATTAAGTTAACATAAAAAATTACTAATAAACAGGAATTAAGATAACATCAAGAATTACTAATAAACAAGAATTAAGTTAACATAAAAAATTACTAATAAACAAGAATTAAGATACAATCAAGAATTACTAATAAACAACAATTAAGTTAACATCAAGAATTACTAATAAACAAGAATTAAGTTAACATCAAGAATTACTAATAAACAAGAATTAAGATAACATAAAAAATTACTAATAAACAAGAATTAAGATACTATCAAGTATTACTAATAAACAATAATTAATTTAAGATCAAAAATTACTAATAAACAAGAAGTAAGTTAACATCAAAAATTACTAATAAACAAGAATTAAGACACCATCAATTACAATCGAACAAAAAATTAAGATATCTCCAAACATCACAATTACGCAAAAATGAAAGTGCTACAAAGTATAAAAAAAACAACTTAAAATAAGAAAAGCAAGATGCACCAAGCCAAGCTAATAAACAAGAATTAAGGCATCACTAAGCATCCTAAAAAACGTCTCAAATAGAGAAATGTGGCAGAGCAAGGCATTATTAGACATTTTTTGTTATTTTAAAACCCCATATATACATACACTCATTTATGTATATATATAGAGGATAATGTCTGCTTGAGGTAATCGTTTAGAGAAGAATGCACTTTACCCACAAAAAAGGTTGATTTTTATTTTAAAGTGAACAAAAATATTCTCAAATATATGGAAAATACATAGGAATGAATGAATGTAATGAATAACGTTTGTGTATGTTTTTAGCACAACGCTATAAAAATGAACCTTCTGTGCTTTACCCACTGCGGGTTTCGAAATCCGATTTTTAACGTTATAATCCATCAGATTACCGTTGAGCCATTGGGGGAGGGGAACTTCTTGATTGTTTGATAACATGTTCTCAAACACAAAACTACACAATAGGCTAACTTTGCTCTGCCTACCACGGGTATCAAAACTCGATTTTTAGGGTGTTGAGCCTGCAGACTTATCCCTGAGCCACTAGGGGCGGGGGGCTTTTTTGAAAGTCTTCGTTATCATGTACAAAATTCTATAATCTTACATTTAAATGATGATGGTGTAAGAGAATAATGTTTAAATTCAGATGAACCTTTCGATCCTCTGTTTAGATAGCTGTATCTGTAAAACTCTATCTGAAACTGAGCTCACAAATCATGTGATACACCCACACGGGCCACACGACGTAGTGTAAGCAAACTTCTGATACAAAAACAAATAACCTATCACATCTAAGGCTTGGCCTAACCAGTCATTTATCGTAACTAGTGTAACGCTCTGACAGAAGGAACTTAACCTAACAAAGACTTACTTAAAATTAATTTAGTCTAGCTTAAACATCGCTTACTCAGAAAACAAAATATGCCTTACTCAACCAACATCTTTTTAGAACTAACTAAATTTATCCTAACCGAAGTGTCATGATAACAGACGTAACAAAATCTAAAATAAAAAATAACATTATAAAGCACTACTAAAATTTACAGAAAAAATTACATTTATAGAACATTTTTCTCGTGAGCTACAAAAATATTCGTATAACCCGAGCGCTTTCTATTCACTTCTATCAAGACTTCTTGGACCTGTGTGTTTTTCTAACATCATGAATAAACTATTCGTTATATATTCTGCAATCTAGCAGACGGCTTGTCTAGGTGCGGCAATGTTTACTACTAATAGTTGCTATTCTAAAATGTTCTATTATTATATTACAAATTTATTTTCCTTTCACCAAAGGTAAAATTGAAAATATAATCTGTAAAGTTGATTATAAATGCTATAATAAACTAGTCTAAACTCTAATGAACCAAAAGTATGATTATTTAAGTGTCGAGGGACATGCTGCAAGAAATTGAGCCTAAAGTCTCACATAAAACAATTAGCAACTTAAAGGTTTGTTTGAAACGTTTTATTTAAAACGTGGGCGATTTTCTGCTATTTTGTACTTAAAATCAGGTCTGTTCTCTATGCTATTGGGCATAATCATGTCAAACGCTTCTTGGAGGTGTTTCTTATTTTTAACGTAACTCTTAATTCTTCTTATATTTGTTAAATAAACAGTTCTTTGACTATTTATGTGAACGTTTATAATACTTAGCTAAAACTCTTGAGCGAATAAACAGTGAAAATGCAATCTGCAGGTTCGAATCCCCGTCCCACTAAACCTGCTCACCCTTTCAGCCGTGGGGGTGTTATTATGTGACGGTCAATCCCACTATTCGTTGGTAAAAGAGTATTCAAACAGTTGGCGGTGGGTGGTGTTGATAACTGCCTTACCCTCTAGGCCAAGGCGGGTGAACCTATGGCACGCCAGTGAATGCCGCGTGCCAAGTTTTTTATTTGCTCGACCAATATATATATATTAATTATAATATATAAAATTAATAATGACAACAATAATTTTGCTGCTCACAATTCCCATGAAAGTATTTCTCCGAAAATTATCGACAATTTGGGCACATGCTCTCAAAAAGGTTCACCAGCCCTGCTCTAGACTATCGCTGTTACATTAGGGACGGCTAGCGCATATAACCCACTGATAGCTTTGGGCGAAATTCAAAAACAAACAATCAGTAAAAATTTTCTTTTTTTTTTCTTTTTTCTGTTACTATGTTAAAAATCCCCACGCGTTTGTCTTTGAACGCTTTTGTGCTCCTAAAGTTAATTGTTAGTATTTCTTTCATATTTTGTTTGTTCGTTTGTTTGAATTTATGCACAAAGCTACACAATGGGTTATCTGTGCTCTGCCCGCCACGGGTATCGAAACCCGGTTTCTAGCGTTGTAAGTCCGCAGACATACCGCTGGGCTTTTTTAATATAGTGGATAGTCTTTTATGGGTTTCTTTCCTACATATCAAGATATTTCATCCAGGAAAAAAAAGTTTTCCATAGATACATGTTCCTATTTAGGATAATAC